ACTCGGGGGGGGACACAGATCGTTACTCAGAAGGACACTGAATCTTTTACTGGAGGGACACAGAATCGTTACTCGGGGACACAGAATTCGATGACTCGGGGACTGCTAGAAATTGATAATCGGGGGACACAGAATCGTTATTCAGGGACACAGAATCGCTTACTCCGGGACACAGAAATCGTTACTCGGGGACACAGAATTGTATCAGGGGAACACAGAATCCTTACTCAGGGACACAGAATCGTTTACTCAGGGACACAGAATCGTTTACTTTCTGCTTCACAACCACTTAATTGAATTAAGAGTTAGTCAAGACAACACGCAGAGGAGTGGCAGAAGCAGGAGGGCAATGTTTCAGCAGGAGCGATGTCAGACGTGGCGCAGCAGAGGAAGAGGTATCGAAGGCACAGCAACTAGTCGCAGCCATGGAGGCCAGTGCTCCCGGTGTCATCCAGCGTGTCCTTGTCTTCCACCGACAATACCCTGCCGTCATCGAAAATTGGTTTGACCCTTTTCGGTCGTACTTCCTCTTCCCAGGTCACCTCTGACACCTACAGTCCAAGTAGCGAGTCGGGTGGGTACGGTCAGACACTAAAACGGTAGTTGGGGCATGGCAGGCAACGGGACCGCAAGCCCACTGGAAATCACGATGTCCTCTACCTGCCCCTGTCCTTTGGTGTTCCCTCACCAAGCGAAGTATCGCATGCTGTGGGCTCAGGGCCCCACATGCATACAGTGAGGAAGGAGCTAAACAAGAGGAGCGGTCTAGGATACGGGGGGAGGGAGACAATCCGCCTCTACAAGCAGCCAGGCAGAAGAAGTAACTGTCGAGTGAGAGTGGACTCAGTAGCCGGTCTAGAGATAGGGAAGTCTAGTGTCTCCTGGACCCCACGCAGCCGAGGGGGCTGTGTGACGCGGGAGACCCTATTTGATGATGATGAGGCTGATCGCACTTGGCATAGCCTCGTCGTCATCAGGGCTATGCTTTCCTACATCATCAGGAGAGAGGGTGCCAGCTTGGCAGAGCGTGAGCAAAACAGTATAGGTGGGTTGCCTCCAGGGAGGTCAGAGGGTCGCCAGCAGTGTCAGTGGCGCCAAACGGCCACGGAAGGTTGAGCACAAGGCTCCACTGCAGCCTACCACCCATCCTATATTAGTGGTGCGGTGTGCACGGAGAGAAGTGAGCAGTCAGCCTGATGAGAGTAGCGGGCGGCAAGTTTCCTACTCGGCGTTGTGGCAATTTTTTCCTCACGCACGAGAACAAGAAGCCCGAGGAAGGAATACGTAGCCGTATGTCGGACTATGTGGCCAGAAAGTCATGAAGCTGTGGCCCAGGGGGGCCCATGGGTGCTGCAGTCCTTCCCTTTCATCGTGGTGGATCAGCACCCTTCTGACGACATCGAGATGCTTGTGGCGCCGCGGACTGGAGAAGTGCCAAGCCGGCAGTTCTTCGCCAAAAGGCAGTGCCAACATCGTATTCACATGTAGAAGAGATGGCTTGGCAGTTCTTTTGAGTCATGTCGGTCTCTGCCCAAGTGACGGCGTGCCGACATGTGGAGGAATCGGTGGGGAATCATTCTTTGGCCCCGGGAGGGAAGGGGGGGGCCCCCACCAGCAAATTAAAGGAGGGTTTTCCTCCCGGGGCCCCCTTAGAAAATTTTCCCTCTAATTTTTGGGTCCTGGGTTTTCCAAAAGAAAAAAATTTAAAAAAAGTGGGGGGCCAAGGTTAAAAGGTTGAGGTTCCTTGGGGGTACCCGGGGGGAAAAACTTCTGAGGAAGAAAAAGAAAAAATTGCCCCCCAAAATAAAATGGAACCCAGTTAGAAAGGAAAAGAACATTTCTCTCTTAGGAAGGTTTGGGTTTAGGTCCGTGTTCCAAGGGGTTTTAAGGGTTTAAAAAAAAACCCAAAACTTTAAAGCAGAAAAAAAGGAATTTTTTTTTACAGAAAAAAAATTAGTGAGGGGAGGGTTCAAATTTTTGGACTTAAAAAGGGGGGAAATAAAAAATTTAAATTTAAAAAAAAGGACCAACTGAGTTAAAGGGAAAAAATTTTTTGGGGAAAATTGAGGGTTTTGGCCAATTTAACCTGGCTTTGGTTTGGGAACCTTTTGGGAGGGAAAGGACAGGGGTGAACTCTTTTTTGGGGGAACAAAATTTTAAAATGGGGGGGTTTTGGGAGAGGGGGTTTTTTTCTAAAAATAAACCTTTGGGGGGGACGGGAAGAAAGGGGGAGGGGGGGGAAAAATTTTGGGCCCAGGTTTTTGATAAAGGGGGTTTTTTAGCGGACAAGGGGGGGGGAAAAAGAAAGGGAGGGAAGAAAGGCCCCAGGAGGGGAATTTTTAAGGGACGGGGACCCCTATTTTGGCAAAAAATTCCCTAAATGCCTTCTTGCGGGGAAAAAGCCGTTTAAACACGAAAAGGGAGGTTGATGCCCGAAAAAAAATTCCTTTTTTAAAAAGGGGGGGGAAAAAAAAAAAAAAAAATTGTAGTAGTGTTTTTTTGGCCAAAAGATTGGGGGATTGGGGGGGGCCCCCGGGTCAGGGGGGGGGGGGTTGGGTGGGACCCAATTTTTAAAAAGGGGTTTGGGAAAAGGGTACTTTTTAACCAGGGTAAAAATTTAAAAAAAGGGCCCCCAAGAACTTGTGGGGCCGGAAGGATAAAAAGGGGGGCCCTTTATTGGGGGAAGGGAAAAAAACCCCTTGATAGGGAAGAATTACCCCCCCCAATAGAAGCCCTTAAAAAATCCCCGGCCCCTGGGTGGCGGGGGTTTTGTTTTAGGGGGGGAAGAAAGGCCGAATGCCACCCAAATGTGGAGGGATCCGTTTTGAAAATTGAAAGGGGGATGTTTTTTTTTAAAAACCGCAAACCCATGAAATTTAAAATCACCCCCCAAAAAACATTTTTTAATTTTAAAAGGGGGGTTTAGGAATTTGGGGGAATTATTATGGGTAAAATTTTTTTGGCCTCCCCAGGAGAGGGGTTAGGGTCCCTTAGGCCCCCCATCGCTATTCCGCCAGTTGCCTTTGGGGGCCATTTCATTTTTACAGGGGGGTTTTTGTGAAATTTGGGGGCTTTTTTTGGGGCCCCTCCCCCGACCCCCCCGCTTCCTAAGTGCAGGCCCCGTTTTTCCCCAGGCCTTTTTTTTTCCCGAAATGGAATCCCCCCCCCCCCCCGGAGGCCTTTCGTTGCTTGGGGAGGTTTTCCTTTTTAACCCGGTTTGGATTTTCAATATGTTTGGAAATGGGGGGTTTTCCTGGGCGGGGTTTGTTCTGGCCCCTGGGCCCCAAAGGGGTTAGGGGTTTTTTTTTTAAGGAAACGGAAAAACGTCCCGTTTGGTTTGCATTAACGAAAAAAGGGGGAAAAATTTTTTCCCCCCAAAAAAAAAACCAGCCCCCAAAATTGGCCCCACCCGGTTTTTTTTCCCCCCGTGTAGATTGCCGGGGAGAGGGGTTTTTTTTAAAAATGTGAGGGATTTTTAAAAACCTGGCCTGTGTATGGCCTTCAATTAAGCTGCTTCTGCCGCCATCTGCCATTGGACTTTGTAGTCGTGAAATTTTTGGCGCCCAAAAAATGATATTATTTATAAAACGGCTCTTGTATGGCCTCTCTAATCTTTAAGCTGCTTACGCTTCCGTCCACGCTCTGCCCATGGGCCACTGTAGACCGCACTCAGCTCTTGTGCTAGACCGATACACGAGCTCGTGTAATGGAGGTCCCTGTATGGCCTCACCATTGTGCTGTTCTCCATATCTCCCACTTCTGCCAGGTGTGCACTTTCAGGTCTCCTTCACTGCTGGTGGGTTTCCATTTTGTCATAGGGTGCTGGCAGATTAAGGGCCTCCAAGCAGGCAGTATTCGGAAGCCAAACACAGTGCATCGTGTTAAAAAGCTGGACGCCGTCAGCAGCGTGAGCAGACGACAGAGGCACATGGCTGCAGGGTGGACGGGTGGAGGGCAGCAGCAATGGAAGGCCATACAGCACCCTATCAACAAAATGGAAACCCACAAACAGTGTCAAGGAGACCTGAAAGTAGCGGCACATGGCAGAGTCTGGCGATGAAGGTCAGCAGCATGGGAGGGCCGTACGGGGACCCCATGACACACTCTGGCCCTTGGCAGCCGAGAGGAGGACTGTTACAGGGCCCATGCTCGCTCATGTGCTGAAGAGTAACGCAGCTTAAATTGAAGGCCATACAGAGGCCTATTAGTTAAAAGTCCCCAGCACTCAGCCGTGGGGAGACGACTATTAGATCGTCTCCCACACTGTGCTGGGGGGACTTATTAACATTGGCCTCTGTATGGCTTCAATTTTAGCTGCTTACGCTACCGCACTCTGGCCATGGGCCCTGTACCGCCACCTGCATGCTGCTGCCAGGCCGTTTTTTAATACGTATGCCATGGGCCCCCCGTACGACTCCTCATGCTGCTGCCAGGCCGTAATCTGTCATGGGGCCTGTACGCCTCCTCATGCTTGTGCCAGTCCAGAGAGTGTATGGGTCCCTGTACGGCCTCCCGTTTGCTGCTGGTCTCCATCGCCACACTTGCCCATGTGTCCACTATAGGTCTCCCTCACATGTGGTGGGTTTCCATTTTTGTCATAGGGTTGCTGTATGGCTCCCATTGCTGCTGTCAGGCCGTAATCTGCCATGGGCCCCCGTACGACAATCCTCATGCTGCTGCCAGGCCCGTCCATCTGACTTGTCATGGGCCCCTGTACCGCCATCCTCATGCTGCTGCCCCAGGGTCCGACGATGTGTGTCATGGGTCCCTGTACGGCCATCCCATTGCTGCTGTATACTCCATCGCCACACTCTGCCATGTGCCACTTTCGAGGTTCACCTCTCATGCTGTGGGTTATTTGTCATAAGGGCCCACTTGTATGGCCTCACTCCATTTTTTTTTGCTGCTGCCAGGCCCGTAATCTGTTCATGGGCCCCCGTACGACTCTCATTGCTGCTGCATCGCAGGCCCGTAACTCTGTCATGGCCTGTACCGCCTCCTCATGCTGGTGCCCAGGTTCAGAGTGTGTCATAGGGTGCCTGTATACGGACCTCCCTATTGCTGCTGTCTCCATCTGGGCCATACACCTCAGCTGCATTGATGTGCCACTTTCGGTCTCCCTCACACTGCTGGTACAGGGTTCCATTTTGTCATAGGGTCGCTGTATGGCCTCCCATTGCCTGCTGCCAGGCCCGTAATCTGCCATGGGCCCCCGTACCGACTCCTCATGCTGCTGCCAGGCCCGTAATCTGTCATGGGCCCCCTGTACCGCCTCCTCATGCTGCTTGCCAGGTCCAGAGTGTGTCATGGGTCCCTATACGGCCTCCCATTGCTGCTGTCTCCATCGCCACACTCTGCCATGTGCCACTTTCAGGTCTCCTCACACTGCTGGTGGGTTCCATTTTGTCATAGGGTGCTGTATGGCCTCACCATTGCTGCTGCCTCCACCGCCACACTGTGGGCTCCACACTCTGGTTTTGGCCCCGTGACTGCCCAAATGAGTGAAGTGTGCGGTGATTCTAAGATCGACGGCACTCATCTGCATGTCATACTGACTGACAGTATTATTTCTCTTCCCCAGCAGACTCCAAGGGCATTTAAATTAAAGGTACAGTGTTCTGCAGTAATATAAAGGCTCTCTGAAGCCTAGAAACACCCTCAAATATATACCAGTACATTTACATTCTCTAAAGGAAAAGCATAAGTATCTTTACCAATGTGACCTTTGCCTTCATTATTTTCACGATTTTCTTCTTCTGATCCTTCGATTAAAAAACAAAAAAAAAAAAACCCATTATTTTATAGATGTTTTCCCCATTCATTGTTGATTTTGCCATTAAACACCTCACACGTTCAGTCTCCTCTTGCATTACTAACTTACTAACTGACATATCAACATGGATGTCACACCACTTCCTTATTGTGTTATTAAACCCACAACAGTAAAATCAGTCTGTATATGCAGTAAAGCATGCTTGTTATACTCACTGTGGAACCTAAGGTTAATCCTCTGCATTGTTTAAAAATGCTGCTTGATCCTGACTTCTCTGCTCCTCTCCTTCTTCCAGTGCCCCCCTCTTATCTCCTAATAAGACATATCATGTGGAGTCACTCTGCACATTCTCAGTTTGGTGTGTACTGTCCAGACAGAGGTCAGGAGTCCTGAATCTTCCTAAAGCAGAATGAAAACTCCTCCTACAAGCTTTAACATGTGCTCGTCTGAACACTGGTAGAAGTCACAAGACTGCTCTAACTGCTGATGAGAAAAGGTATTTAGAAGTTTATATTTACTAAAATAATTGCTTTTCCATGTTCTGTGTACTGTGGGAGGCCAGATATAGTGAATGCAGGCTCCTGGGTTTAGTAACACTTTAAACTAAATCTCTCTAAAACCGAGATCATAATATTTGCATGTTCATGAGGGAAATAAGTATTTAATTCCTCTATCATTCAGCAGGGTTTCTTGCTACCAGGTGACTTTCATACAGGTAACAAGCTGAGATTAGAAGCAGTCTCTTAAAGGGAGTGCTGCTAATCTCATTTTGTTACCTGAATAAAAGACACCTGTCCACAGGAGCAATCAAAAAATCAGATTCCAAACTCTCCACCATGGCAAAGACCAAAGGGCTGTCCAAGGATGTCAGGGACAAGATTGTAGACCTACACAAGGCTGAACTTGGCTACAAAACTATTGCCAAGCTGCTTGGTGAGAAGGTGACAACAGTTGGTGCAATCATTCGCAAATGGAAGAAACACAAAACAACTGTCAGTCTCCCTTAGTCTGGTGTACCATGCAAGAATATGTGACATGCCCTAAAATTCTTGATGCAACGCAAATTAAAGTGATGCTAATGTGCTTGTGTGTACTATCCCATCTGTCTGCCAATTTTTTTTTAATAACCTAGTGCATTAGAAGGAGATACAAGTGCTTCTGAAATGCAGCTAAAATTCTTGTTTTTGCTGCATCTCTAGGCCCATGAGAAAAAGGCAGAAATCTAGTGGTGGTAACTCTTGTGCTACTATGGATATTTTATTCAGTTTTGATAACCTGGACCTTTGATCAGGATTAAAATAATAACCTCCGCTTTTAAATTTGCATCCTAGAGTGACTGATCATTACCTTCACATTATAAATATTATTCAAATTACGTACTTTATAGGATCTAAGCACAATCACTCCAAACCAAAAAATTTTATTTTGTTATAACAAAATTCAATGCTAATTCCAACACCCCGCCCCCCCAAAAAAAAAAATTCTTCCTACTATTAAAGCATTAAAAAAATATATAGCGTACCTTTCAATGTACTACCATCATGATGAATAAACAACACATAGAAATTAAATTTCATTGTACTGCTGCCCAAACTCTGTGTTCCCACATGTACCAGCAAGATATTATATATCAAAGTCGTGCAGTACTAATACATAAATATCATACTATAAAATTACAAGTTGTGATAAATTAATCTCTGCTGAAAATGTGAAAAACTACAGAAAAAAAAAGTCCACTGTGTCCACATTCCTTATATAACTTAATCCAATTTAAACATAAAATTTCATGGCATACAGTTGTTCCGCAAAAGTCATCAGTTCTTATAGATGTATCTCTGTAATATTCTATCACCTTAAGTGCATATCCCTTCACCTGGGTCCTGGCCCTTTAACCCCTGATGAAGTCACGTGATCTGGTGGCGTAGGGATAAGCCTGTGTCAGGAATGGACTGGCCAGTAATGGTGGGACTCACCTGCCTTGTGGGCTGCAGTACCAGGGCTGGCCAGCGGGTGCTCCCAGCAATCAGAGACTCAACCCTGCAGCCAGCCAAACACCTGAAACTGCTTATGCAGGTGTATTTAAGTGATGGCCAGACCTGCAGTCTTTGCCTTGGTGTGTGTGTTTTTTCCTGGGCCCTGTATCTTGTTCCTGCATTCCTGTTCCTGTTCCTGGTCCTGTCTCTGTCTGATTCGTTGCTGACCCTGCCTGATTCCGGACCTCTGCTGACTTCTCCTGTTTCATCCCTGGCTTGTGACCCCGACCATTCTCTGCCTGACCCCCTGTTCCTACCTGCCCGATTGCTATTGACCCGGCCTGCCTGACGACGCTTGCATTGTATATATTGTTATCTGTGGGTGGTTTGGTTTGGTTCGTTTGCACTGTGTTATGTTTTAGTATTGCACTGCGTTTATGTTTGTATTGTTAGTCTTTAATAAATTGTCTTATTGTTTATAACATATCTGAGACCTGCGTTTCCCTGCGTCAGTCACATACCTCTGGTCACACCCTGGAGCCCTGACAGCCTGTGACGTCATGCCGCTAACCAAAAGTACACGGTCTGCCATCTTGAGAAAGAGTCTTCCTATTGAAATGCATGTAAACTGTTGTGCACCAGGATATGTGTATATTTTCATTTGAGAGTATAGAATTTGGGTTATTTTAAATAAAGAAAAAATTAGTGATTATATGGAAAGCACTAGATATCCTTTCATTTTTTGAGCTTTACATGAAGTTTCATGAAAACCTGAGGATTACGGAAGGATGTAGATAGATTAAACAAGCATCTGGGCATTGGAGAGAGAAAACAACAGTCCTAACCTAAGAGATCCTTTAAAGGGAAAGTGCACGAAACCTGATATATTGCGTCAATACATAAGGTGAGAATTTTGGGGTGTTGCTGAAGGCATATGCACTGAAAGTGAAAGAATATCAGAGAGATACAGCTATAAAAACTGATGACGTTTGTGGAAGCACTGTTTGCCACAAAGTTTTACATTTAAATCGGATGAAGCTATATAAGGAATATGGACACAGTGGACTGTTTTTTCTGTAATTTTTCACATTTTGATTGATTTATCACACAACTTATAATTTTATAGTGTGATATTTATGTGTTAGTACTGAGTTGACATAATTATTCAAATTACGTTTGTGTTATTTTATACCTTTGCAATTGACTTCATCCTCTCCTTTGAGACAGTCCACATGGTCGTTACATACATAATGTTTTGGAATGCAGATGTCTGATGAACAGTGGAAACCTTCTTTCCGACACTCTAAAACAACATTATACAACAGAATGATTTTCAGTCAAAGTAAACATATTGAACTTGGGCTAATAAATGGGAGAACTAAGGTCATCTGGCACAGTCACTTTGACAACCCACCCACACAAAGTTCAGCAGTGAGGTCGGTCTTGAGTGCCATGGAGGTTTGCTGTCAGCATGTGTGTTAACATAGGCCAGGGGTCTCCAAACTTTCTAAATAAAAGGCCAGTTTACTGTCCTTTAGACTTTGGGGGGGCAGACTGTGCCCAGTGGGAGTAAACAGTGCCCAATCTTAGGTATTAGTCAGATAAATAGTTGGTGTCAGTTGGAGGAACAGTGCCCCATTTTTGCGGAAGGAATTATGCCCCATTGTTGGTTTCAGTGGAAGGAATAGTGCCCTATTGTTGGTGTCAATGGAAAGAATAGTGCCCCATTTTTGTTATCAGTGGAAGGTATTATGCCTCATCGTTGGTGTCAGTGGAAGAAATAGTACCCCATTGCAAATAATAAAGGCTTGTGCGCTGCTACACCCTAAATAATAAAGGAAGGAGGAGATTGCTGCACTCCCTGGTCAAGTGTACTTTCACTTAAATTAAATAATTAAACAAAAAATGTGATGTGTTAACTCCTCAAAATGTGAAACATAAACTTTAAAAACATGCAATATCAATCCACAAAAGTTCAAATGTGAAGTTGTATCAGTCCAATCCAACATATACTGTATAACTCCTAATGTTGTGCTATCATCCAACAATATTGAATTGTAGCCTCACTCCCTGCTCACCTTAAAGTTTGATCTATAAATTATAATAGGCCAAATGCACTTTTAGAAGGACTGTGTAGCCTCCAAATTTCTGGTCCATGTAGTGTACCTTCCACGTGCTATATCTTCATTGGACCTTTAGCTACAAAACATTAAAAATAGAAAATGTGGTGCTTCAGACGGCTTATGTCAGGGGCTCTCTGCCTGTCTCTATGACCAAGGCCACAGTGGTCTTGCTACTTAAGCCAGGCAAGATGGCTACTGACCCAAGCTCCTATAGACCTACATCTCTATTACAATCTGATGTAAAGATCCTGGCCTAAGTATTAGCGCGTCACTTAAATAAAGTCATTACCACTATCATAAACCCTGATCAGGCAAGTTGCATGCCACAGACATCCACCGCTGTTAATTTATGCAGACTGTTTATTAATATGCAAACGCCTGCTGACAACAAGGGCCGTAGAGCGCTTCTGTCATTAGATGCCACTAAGGTATTTTGATAGAGTAGAAAGAGATTATTTATGGCGGATTTTCGTGAGATTCAGTTTTGGCAAACAGTTTATAAATTGAGTGAATCTTCTTTATCATTCTCCCTGTGCCGCGATTAGACAGGGCGAAGCAATTTCCTCAACTTTTTACCTGGCCAGGGGCACCCATCAGGGATGCCCCCTTTCCCCGCTTTTGTTTGCACTGGCCATCAAGCCTTTGGCGGCACGAATTAGGGCTAGTATAGAGGTTGACGGTTTCAAACCTCAAACTCATCAAGTACCATCAAGTGTGGATTGATATTGCATGTTTTTAAAGTTTATATTTCACATTTTGAGGAGTTAGCGCATCAAATTTTTTGTTTAATAGTACCCCATTGTTGGTGTCAGTGCCAGAAATTATACCCCATTGTTGGTGTCATTGGCAGGAATAATGCCTCAAGGGCCGGATAAAGCATTCTGTTTGCATGCTCATGCATGATTGATGGAAGATCAGGCATACACATCCTTTTCAGTCATACCCGTAGTGCCTGCTTTAAATTTCAGTTGCAATTAATGGGTATCTATCAGAGCTGGTGTGTAGGCTTTCTACTCCCTTTCAATACAGGTTGAGGAGGAGCAGACAAAGATTACAGCTACTATATTTTACTCCTGGAATGGATGCTGCCTTTTTAGCAAAACTGGAAACCCTTTAGAATTGGATATAACTTACAAACAAAACATGAAATTTTTTTTTAGAGCACTAACAGTACATTTGTTTTTAGAGCACTAACACCCCCTACCCCCCACCCCCAAGGTATGTTTAGCATATACAGT